TGATAGTATTTAGGTGTAATTGTGTATATGTGTGCATTTGGCATATGTTACACTCAATGCACAAATATAAATCCCAGCCCAAACTGAAATATATAAACATTATTAGTCTTTTTGTTGTTGTTCAAAATATTCTTTGATGAATGTTTTTATGTATTAAGTGTATCTCTAACAACTAAATTATAAGAGCTTCATGTTAGTCTATTTATCATATGATATTCTTATATTCAATAAAATTGTATGTAAAACCATACAATTTTACATAGTCACTTAAACATAAGAACATTCTCAATAAAGAAAATGCACACAAAACAATACAGGTTTTTAAAACTACCAGCAACAAAATCGTCAGATAAACATTTCACGTAAATTAAGATGCTGATTTTTTTTTCCAAAAAACTTTTTAAATGATCCATGAAGTTTAAAATGTGAGTTTTGTTTTCAAATTATGTCAAAACATAAAATTTTCAAACGAAGATGCTTAATAGTAACTTCCAAAACAAACCAATTTTTTAAAAAAGTAGTTTTGATTAAGTTTTTAAAATATAAAGGAAAAAAATGTCTTCAGTTTATTAAGACCTGTCTATAGAGGAAAACATGATTCTAGATCTATAGTTTTTATAAGCCTTATAAATGCTCATATTTATGATGCATATTAGAAATTCATATTGGATCCATTGTGACTGCCTGTATAGATTACCAAGATGATGCCAACTCTCATGCATATCATCTCCCTAAATTAGTTTGGCAGCAAAAAGTCCCACACCGAGTCCAGATATTTCAAATAAATCTCTCTTCCATAAATATTCTGGCTAGTAGTACCTAGGCAGAAAGAATCCTTTACACTAAAAATTAGCTTTAAAAGCAAGAATATTGAATTTTATGGGACATTATCTTTTTAAAAAGTATAAACATACCCAAACTAAGCACCCATACACACATGAGTGTGCACACACACACATTTTGTCAGGGGAAATTATATTTTTACCATTAAAGTAAACTGAATATGAACGTGTTGAGGTGATTTACATTGTCATCTATGTAATTATACAGCTTTTAAAGGATGTAAACATTTCATTTAATACTAATTTTACATATTGAACAATGTATCAATGAGTATTGTTGTTATCAATTTTTATAAGGTGGAACTATTTTGAAACGTCAAATAACACATACATCTATCCAAATTCTAAGACAGCTTAATTTAGCTAAAAAAGATAAAATCAAACTGGATAGTTAGTTGGGATATTTCATAATTTCTTTATTTTCAATACATATATCTCTAGAAACATATAAAGTACAATATTTAAGGAAATTAATATTAACCTTCATATACATAGAGAGTACATTTATGCATCTATTATATCCGTGGAAAATGCAGATACTCCATTATATATGTGCAATTATATAATCTGTATAAGTACAGATATATCACTATATGTATCTTGTCTATCTATGCATTTTGTGCAGAAAAGAAAAGCATTCTTATAATCCAGAACAAAGCAATACAGGTGTGTGTATGTGCATGTGTGGGTGGGTGTGTGTATGTGTGTGTGGAGGGAGAGCTGGAGGAAAAAAATTGGTAGCTTCACAAAGAGGTATTAAAGGTAGATACTAAACATGTTTGAAAATGAATATGAAGGTATTATGTTATATAAAGAAATATCATTGACAATTTTTTATCTCTCCTTTCCCTCTCTCTATATGTGTGTGTGTTCTGCTGTGAACAAGAAAAGAACATTTGGGATGAAAGAAAACAATGACTGTATAGAAATTTAAAATAGGATACTTAAGTTAAACTTACTAAATTAAAATTTAAACCCAACTGGATTTTCCTTTCTGAATATGAAATAAGAACCTTATAAAATGGGCACAAGAATCACAACATATTTAAAAATGTTTCTATTAAAATTTTTTCTCATGTAAATATTTGTATCATTAGTACCCTATAGTATCTTAAAATATTGTAAAGGTATGCATGAAAATATCATGAAATATCAAAGGGTCATCTTTGTAGCATAAAGATCAAGACTTTAAGTAAAGATAAAGTTCCTCACCCTTTGACTCAGACAGAACTGTTTCAAATGCTCTAGTTGAATGATTTTTATGTACATCTACTTGTTGGTGTTTCAAATTTGCCATTTTTCAATACTCTAGGGCTGAAAAGGAGAAAATATGGGGTTGCATATCGAGAATTTATATCGCTACTTAGTAGTTAATATCTTGACCACCTTTAAGATTATGTATTTGGAGAGTTATAACCTCAGCAATTCCAATGCTACAGCATTCAGGTGATGCTATTAAATGTCTTCCACTGAGAAGAGCTCCTTATAGCAAGAATCCCTCACTAATACCTAGCTACCTAGATTCCTGAAATCTTTAGTCTAAAAACCTATTTCTATATAAAAAGAACCCTATTTAACTTAACTATAAGGGTAGCAATGTTGTTGTTTGTCATGATGTTGACAAAAAGCAGTAGACAAAAAGTTATCAGTAACTCTCAAGTGGACATATTCATCCCCTAATTCCTACATAATTAACAAGGATAAAAACTATACTCTGCATTGCCTCCCTTCAAGATGGTAAGCTCACAATACAATGGAATCAGAGCAAGTTATGTATGGGAGGAGGGAATGGGGGCATGGAAAGAGTAATACCTTTTTCTTGGTTCCACAAAGGGTTGAGGGCCTAATTATTTTTAAGTATAATCCAACCAACCTCTTCTCATGCTTAGCTGCACTGAGTGACACTATTTGTGATGCCCAGTGTGCTGAAACTGAGCAGGTTGCTGTCAGTTTAAAAATGACTATAATAAAAGTGACCATGAAGATGGATCTTGTGATTTTGCGTTTCTAATCAGTCATCTGTGAAGAACACTTTTGCTTTGATTCAGCAGACTGGTGACAGCCATGATTGATAGTGCACGAGGATGAAAAAAGGTTATTAACTGTCTTCCTATTAAGCTCAATGTATTACCCCTCTAGGTGCATCTCATACTTTAAGTTAAAGTACTTACTCAGGTAAGGTCAAGAATGAACTCTATGGAGATGGTATCCATTCTGCTGAAAACAAGCAAGGCATCCTTTTACTGATTTTTTTTTTAATTTAGCATTTAAACTACATTTAATTCCACTGTCTTATTTTTATTGGCTAAAAAAGAGAAATTTCCTCCTTCCAAGAACATCTATACTGAAAACACTAAAAGTATAGAAAATAGCTTTAAATGTAAAGATTTGAATGTAGAGCTAACTAGCAACATGTGTGTGGCATGTACATAAGTCTATATTTAAGCAGATGGTCATATATTGTATAGTCTGAGGGTATTTTTTAAGAGTAAACACTAAAATTGATTTGTGATTTAAAAAAATAAATGTCTGTATAGCATTTGTAAAATTTGTTTTAATATTCAATAATCCATATATGGCAAGCTTTAGAAATAACAATTTCTAACAAAATTAAAGGATCTAATAGAATATTTAGATATTTGTTTTCATTTAGATATAATGTACTAACTTCATCTCTTTTCAACTTTTTCAAATTAGAAATACTACACATAGATGAACATTTGAATGATGGTATCTGTTCATGTCTTTGACAAGTATAACCACACATCCATCACAAATAGTATGATAGATCCTAAGGTATTTAAAATTTTTCAATAACTCAATGTACACCATTTATTAAATGAAATAATAAACTTTTAAATGTTATATCTCCTGTGTTCATTTATTCTTACTGAAGTCAGAATGTACTGAAAGATTTTTGTATACTTCATTTAACTTCTCTTTAAAACATTTTAAATTTACAAGTTTGGCTCTGAAAGATAACAGATTAAATACATGCATTTTTTTTTAAAGATTTTACTCATTCATTTGACAGAGAGAGACAGCAAGAGAGGGAACACAAGCAGGGGGAGTGGGAGAGGGAGAAGCAGGCCTCCCGCAGAGCAGGGAGCCCTATGCGGGGCTCGATCCCAGGACCCTGGGACCATGACCCAAGCCAAAGGCAGACGCCTAACGACTGAGCCACCCAGGTGCCCCTAAATATATGCATTTTAATTTAAAATTGTAGTATTGTGTTTCTTCTTACATTTCCCACGTAAACACTCAGTACTTTTCAGATGTAATGTGAATTAGCTAAAAACATTCAAGGATATCGATAACTTGGCACTGACTTAATCATTTAAACTACAACCAACTTTCAGCTCTTTGTGCTTGACTGTTCTTCATTGAACAACTCTGCAGAGTAGCACAGAAAAAGAAAATGCTACCACAATGTTATTATAGTTTCAGTGCAGGGAAAATCACATTATATCTAAAAGTTTTTTCTAGTATATCATGACCTGTTTCTCCAGTGTCAGTTATTATACTCGTTTTTGGTATATAATAAATTATATTTTGAAAATGTACTGTTTTAATATTAGGATCCATCAACAATGAAATATAGAGAAAGTAAGGAAATGAAGTTGAAGATTTCACTGAATTTCTCTTTAGAGCCACAAAAATTGGCTCTCTACCCTATTCTGCTTAATATTGCAATTGCTGTTTTGAAAACCCTTTCTAGGTCTCTAGTATTTTATGCATGCCAAGTATAACTTAAATACTTACACACTGAGAGCCTCTTCATAAAAAATGTTAGATCAATATGAAAATTGTTTATTTAGTGAATTGTGTTTATGTGGAGTGGACTTAAAGGTAGATTTTAGAATTCATACAAGATTCCCTCAGTATGACACATTAACTTCATTATTAAATGGATTTCTCTTTCTGCCCTATACAACTTCAGCAAACTTGTGCTCTCAAATTCAGAAATAAACTATGAGATAAGTGAGAGGGTGATATATGGTCAATGATAGCATTCTATATATTGTTCAAATATTTGTATAAGCTAAGAAGAAATGCATCACATGTTTCTCAAAAACATTGTTTGTTTTTAAAATTTAAAAAATGAAAAAGAAAAATGCAGTCTCAAACTAAGCCATGTAAATTAACAAAGTGCTCTGAATTATTAGTGAAAGTCCTGTCTTCTTCTATTTGCCTACTTGGGAGTTCAAGGAAAATTAGGAAATACAAAGACCAAGTAGGCCCACAAGGAATGCACGGATTTCCTAGTCTCCTCGGTTTCTTCTCTTTAGAGAAGATCTAGAACACACATGACACATAGCACACATCTTAGGAAAGAACAAGGCGAAGGCAGTTTCAGGTAAAGTTTAGGTCATTTCCAAGGCAGTCAATTAGCATAGATGACATTGATGTCAAGCCATATTTTTTGCAGACTCGGACACTGGCAGACAGTAAAAGTTAAAAATGTAACATTTTCTTTTATACTTTTGAAACTCCAGAACACAACGTTGCATTAATTTTGCTCAAGCAAGTGACAGAACCGGTGAAGAAAAACCCCACACCTTTGTGCAAACCCTTTAAATCTGGTTCTGAGGCTATTGTGACTTGGTTTCCTCTGCTGCTGGGGCACAAGGCGTGTTTAGTTTACAGTATCTAGGGCTTCTATTACTTTTAGCTTGAAACTCTCTCCCGAAGCTCTTCCACTCCTATATATATCTCCCCTTCTCCTCCTCCTGCTTGTCCTCCTCCTCCTGGTCCTCCTCCTCTTCCTCCTCCTCCAAACCTACTAGGGGACATAGGGTAAGGGTATGAACTGGGTGGTGCACATCTGTGTAGCCAGAACGTGGAGGCTGACAGTTGCTGTCCACTCCCAGACTGTGTACCTGAGCGTAGTGACCACTCTGCTCTTCCGCCCAGCCCACTTCTGCCGGCCGTGTTGCTGCTGTCACGCCAGCCGGTGATTTGATAGGCTTGTCGGGTTGCCATGGTGTTGACTTCTTGCCTCTGAGGAGCTGCCCAATGACTGGAGGTCTGGGATTAAAGCGGGAAGAGGCAGCGGCCACAGCGAATTTCAGCGGCAGCTGCAGCAGCTAGAAACAAGAAGCGAGAGGACGAGGTCTTTAGACTGCGTTCCCCTCCCGCAGCCAGGGCGGCCAGCGAGGGAGGAAGGAGAAGAGGCGTGGGGGGAGGTTGAAATGGTGACCACTCGAAGCCAGAAGATACAAGGGAGACGTTTGAGACCCTCTCAGGAATAACTCATAAGCAACCTTGCACGCGCTGAAAGGGAAAATCTTCCAGAATTCGTTATTATTCACACAAGGCATTACCTGGACGGGTGGTGGGACTGGGAGTAAACGGTTGTTAAAAGGGATTTAAGTGGGTGATACACCTTCCCCCACACCCCACCCTTTATTTAGGCAGCGAGGTAAGCTTGACAAGTAAAGAGGCGCTCTGCGGAGAACTTCAAATCATGGAAACTAACTTATTCCAAGGAGAGAAAGTGCAATGAGACCGCAACCAAGTACATGAAAATAGTTGCCTGGGCCGGCGGCCGGCGGGAACGGCCCGGGAGGGGGGGGAGCCAGAGGGTGCCTGTGCAATGCACAGCCCCAGACGGAAACTGTAAACTAGGAAATGAAAGGGAAAGAAGCCGCTTCTGTTATAAATTAGTAGGTAGGTGAAGGTTACGCAAAGAAGAAAAGGGAAAGTAAAGCTGTTAAAAGAATAGAATAAAACCCCTGGGAGTTCGACTCAAAATCCCACCCCCCCCCCAAACCCCAATCCTAGGCGAGTAGGAGGAGGAGAAAAAGTGCATTCTGGTGTGATGAGAACTCTCTGGAATGTCTGGAGGAGAGGATAGAAGTGCGAGGGTAAGAAGACCCGGGTGCTAAATAATTGGCAGGAGAGAGAAATGGGGGAGGGGCGGGGTAGGAAAGAAATATTCCGCGATTCACCGAAGAGACTTCGAGATTCAGAAGAGGGAGATTCCAATAGGAGGAAAAGAAGTACAGAAGTTCAGACCTGTAGCGTAAAGGAGGAAACGACCAGAGTCAGTAAGAGAAAAGGAGGAAAAAGGTGTGTGCTGCTGAGGGAGGGCGTGGGAAGGCCACCACAGTCAACTGGAAGGAGCAACTGCTAGGACCGAGGGCAAAAAGGGCAGAGAATTGGAGTGACTTAGGCGGTAGACAAGAGCACCGCCGGGCAGCACCGGCGAGTTGGAAGCCAGGTGCCGCACAGCCCGCTCCCCGGCTCGGGGCGACGCGGGGACTTTTCTGGCAAGGACAAGAGCTGCTCTTTCAGCCTGCCAGAGTCACGATTCACCGCGAGTCCCAAACACACGCCTCACTAACTACTTTACAGCCACTTTCATTGATTTTCTTTAACAAATAAACATAATACCCGTTACAGCAACACTTCCTTTTGCTGCAGCTAAAATGCCATAAGCTCTGATTGCTGCATTTCTCTGGATAGCAGTTTTCATATCTCCAAACAAATTGGTTTCCTTCACTTAAAAGATCAAATGTGTGATCACGTTCAGGATGGGGGAGTCTAGTCTTCACCCCCTCTATAATTTGAGAATCACCTTTTAGAATAAGTAGAAAACAGGTCCGGATACAAGTTTGCAAACCTGGAAGGGCTCACTGACATTTGCATATTAATTTTTGCTAATAAGTATCAATTTGGAAGGAAAACTCCGGCGAGGAAATTGACTCGTTTGTAATTGCAGGGAAATTAACACTAGTCCGAAAGCCACACCTAAGCTATTCCCCCCGAGTTATCTCTAAAAAATATTTCCTTTAAAAATATTGTCAACTAAATTTTTCAATTAAAAAAATAAAGTATTTCTTTTAAAGAACGCCCCCCCCCAGAGCGGTTTCTGCTGGAGGTTCTAACATACATGTCAAAGGGTTGTTGAATTATTCATTATTGTAATTACTATCATCATTGTCATTATCCTTTTCCATGTGGAAATAATTTTATTATCGTAATTTGATATCTGAAGAATTTCCTGTTAGTCGTTTGATAATCATTTTTTTCTGCTGAAAAGAAAAGTTTTGTTTATAAATGAGATAGAGAAAATGTTTTAAATGCTTTGATGTTTGCTATAGATTTCCGTTTATCTAATCGATCGGAATGCCAATAAAATCGATTAAAGGTTTAGTGTTTTACAAACAACCATTTTGTGCTTTTTGATTTTATGTTCAGAATGATTTTAATAAAGCTAATGCTTTCCTTTAACATTCTCCCTTTAAAAAATCCAAACCTTGATCGTTTTCCCTTTTATTATTAGAAATTGCCAGTTAAAGTTCTTCTAATAGGAAAATAAAAAAATATAAGCAATGGCTGCAATGATTTAAATTTCATTCTCTTGTTGCTCAAGGTATTTAAATAAAGCCCTTTAAAATCTTGGTGAATTATATGCGATCATTCAGTGATTGCGGAATATTAAATTAAACTTAGATAAATCCGCATTGAAGGAGGCAGCACCCAATCCTGAATTTATTTCCCATTTTCTCTAACAGCATCACTGCGCTCCTCTCTTTGCAATGACAATGTGCCAAATCTGGGCATTTTGAAAACATTTTCCATATGCTTTAACAAGGGACTGATAGACAAAGAAGAAAAGGAGATGATCTTTTTGCTCTGAGGTATATTTTCTTTAACCTTTTTCTCTTAGACTTTCACTGATAATCATTTTAAAGCAAAAGTTTGAAATCATTTAATTCTTTTTTTTTTTTTTTTGCTTTCACGTTTTTTTTTTCTTATCTTGTAATTTATTCCTGAAATGGAGTTTTGGTTACAATATAATGTAAAGCTATCATTTCTGTACCTTGGGAAACAATATTTGTTTCAAAATCTTTGATTTAGTTCCTGCTAGCTGCCTTCTGTAATTGAAGATGGATTTAATTATACATTTTGTAACTTAGATCAGATGGGCTGTTTGTTTGCTGCAGGATTTAATGGTGCTTTTGTGTCTAATATTTAGGGACATTATATACAGAGGTGATGGCTTTTCTTCAACTATAAAGATCTGCACTTTTGTCTTGGAAATGTGGATGTTGGGATGAATGTAATGTCCTGTTTTCAAATAATTCTATTCGGTGGCCAGTGTTTAGTATATTGTCTATACAGCATTGCCTTGACTAGATATAGATGTTTTAGGTTTTAAAAGATCACAAATTTATCTTCAGTGAAATCTCAGTTCTTTGTGTTTTCCCATTTATTTATCTTTTCCCATCTGCATCGTTGTCTCTTAGAGATCTTCCCCAGATGAAATGTAAAATTTTTGTTGGATATGCTTGCTGGAAATATCTCCATCTGTTTTGAGAAGAGTGTGCTTGTGATCCTGGGTTTGGGTGCCTTAAGTGTGAATACATGTGCTGAGGGGGTGGGGGTGTGTATAGTGGTAAGTGATAAGGAGTCCTTATTAATTTGCATAAGAGCTGTAGAAGTGCTTGTGAAGTTAGTGAAGTGCTATTGTTTGGGGAGAGTCCCGTCTGATTTTGTTTATAAACACTGGGCTGGTTGCCTAGAGGGAAAGGAGGTCACAGCACTGTCTGAGCCCTGACCTCTGAAAGGCCAGAGGGCGTCTGACTTTTCTCTTCCCCCTTCCTCCTATCCCTTTTCCACTCCCTTAATTCTTCTTTCCTCAGACCCTCTATAACTCCTCCCTTTTCCCCATCCCAAACTATACCTGTGCCTAACTTTACATAATAATGACTGCCCCCCCCACACACATTGAACTAGGTCAGAACCACCAGAAAAAAAAAAAAAGTAAAACAGATTTACTGCAAATAAAAGCCAAAAAGGGACTTTAGTTAGAAAGAGAGAAACATACAGAAATATGGAAGTACAGATAGAGACCAGGATCAAGATGGGGGCATTTTTATGACAAAAAAGACCACAAAGGAGATAAGAACCAGGTTGGGGGAGGGGAGAGAATCAGTGAACGACAGATTTAACTGCCCACAAATGTGACACACACATACACACTTAAAATGTCTTTCCTTTTTGAATTTCATTTCATCTAGCTCACTCTCACCATCAAAGACAGTGTCCATTCTGGATGTTAGGTCATATTTTAACCTCCAGCCAACCCCCCCCTCCCGCTTTGTGAGTTCTCAAGAAAAATATACTTTTTTTCATAGTAATGAAATTTGGCACTCTTCCACACTATTTCTTGAACTATTTCACTGTAAATATAATGCGTTTGTGACACCATCCCAAATAAGCCCTGCACTTTCCGATTCACTGACAACTTCATGTCTCCCCCTTACACACACACCCCACACCTCCCCACTCACAAAATGATAGACATTGGTATCAAGTTTAAGTGTGTTTTGGAAAGGAGTTACTGAGTTAAAAATGTTAGTTAACAGACTGCCTTTGTTACATAGCCCCCGGGTGGAGAAGACTCAACAAAAAGAGGGAAGGAGGAGGGGGGCTGAGGATCTGAAAGTGTCTGTGGTGATATAAAGGGTTCCTAACGCTGAAATCTTGTAATACCTCGTTTCAAACTGAGCTCATCTATAGACCCCGGATGCGCGGTCAAAAGACTGGGAACCTTTTCCCCTTGGGCTGGGCTTGGTCTTGAGCTGGCGGGACTTGAGGGAGAGGGAGGTGCGGTATTTGTTACTGAATTGGCTAGGGCAGGGCGGGGGAATCCGGGAACAGACAGCGGAAGACTCCTTAAAGCGATTGTAAAGCCCAGAGTGTCTGCGGCACAGATTTGGGAAATAAAATACGCCAAGGAAAAGTCTAAAAGTGGAAATTACCTTTTGTCTCAAAATTAATTACTCCTTGCTCCCAACACTCAACACCTAACCACCTGGTATCCCTTTTTGGTTCTCCCCCAACTGGGCACTCGGCGTCAGGGTCCGAGTGCTCCGGGATGGGCTTGGCTCGGCTGGGGTAGCCCTGGAAAGTGTAGAAGAGGGTGTAGGGAAAGTTCTTGGTGCGGCAGGGAAACCTCTGCTCCTTTCACTTTGAAATAAAAAGTAGCCAACGTTCCTTGAGGGCGGCGGCGGGTTCGCACAGAGTTTAGGGACAGCAGAATGGGGGCGGGGGGGAGGGAGACAGGGTCAAAGGT